CTCCTTCGGCGAGATTTACCTTGGCCGGAATTTGTTGACGCTCGAAGATGTGGCGATCAAGCTCGAGCCCCTGCGGAGCAAGCACCCGCAGTTGCTCTACGAGTCGAAGCTGTACAAGATTCTCAGCGGCGGCGTCGGAATCCCTGTGGTGTTCTACTACGGCATCGAGGGCGACTACAATGTGATGGTGATGGAGCTGCTCGGCCCAAGCCTGGAAGACTTATTCCTGCTGATGGGCCGCCGCTTTTCGCTGAAAACGGTGCTGATGCTCGCGGACCAGATGCTCAACCGCGTCGAGTTTGTGCACTCGAAGCATTTCATCCATCGCGACATCAAGCCGGACAACTTCGTGATCGGCCGCGGGCGGCGCATCGACATCGTGTACATCATCGACTTCGGGCTCGCGAAAAAGTATCGGGACTTTCGCAGCTACCTGCACATCCCGTACCGCGAGGGCAAGAACCTGACGGGCACGGCGCGATACGCGAGCATCTCGACGCACCTGGGCATCGAGCAGAGCCGGCGCGACGATATGGAAGCGCTCGGCTACGTGCTGATGTACTTCAACCGCGGCTTCCTGCCGTGGCAGGGGCTCAAGGCGGGCAACAAGAAAGACAAGTACGACAAAATTTTGGACAAAAAGATGGCCACGTCCACGGAAATTTTGTGCCGCGGCTACCCGTACGAGTTTGTGACGTACTTGAACTACTGCCGCTCGCTGCGTTTCGAAGACCGGCCGGACTACGCGTACCTGCGCCGGCTGTTCAAAACGCTGTTTTTCAACGAAGGCTACGACTTCGACTTTCGCTTCGACTGGTCCGACAACCCGGAGCTCGAGCAGTTTGAAGAGAACGAAGAGGGCTGAGCGGGCGGCGCCGGGGTCGGCTCCGCGCTCGGTTGGGCGCTCGGCTCGGCGCTCGGCTGGGCGCTTGGCTCCGCGGCGGGCGCGGCGCGCGCCGACTGCTGCTTCTTCTTGTAGTCTTCGAGCGCGAGCTTGATCGCGTCCTGCGCCAGCAGACTGCAGTGCATTTTGATGGGCGGCAGCGCGAGGCTGTCGCTGATCTCCTGGTTGCGCACGCGCAGTGCGTTTTCGACGCTCATGCCTTTGATCAGTTCGCTCGCGTAGCTCGAGCTCGCGATCGCGCTGGCGCAGCCGAAGGCTTTGAACTTGACGTCTTCGATTTTGTCGTTTTTGACTTTCAGCGTCAATTTAATTACGTCACCGCAGGCAGCTTTGCCGACAACGGCGGCACCGACGTCCGGCGCGCGGTCGTCTAGGCTACCGATGTTTCGCGGGTTGCGGAAGTGCTCTTCGACCGCCTGCGAGTAGCAGCGCAGCGCGGCCCCTCTCGAGAACCGCGCCAACATTCCTGCGATTTTTCAAAATTACTGCATGTTAAATAACTACAGCAGCAAGTTCGCCGAGTGGACGGCCGACGCGCCTAAGTTTGGCGCCGCTGCGATTCGCGCAGCGCGGCTCGAGGCGTTTTCGTTCGCGTACCGCGGGATCGGCTTCGGCGAGACCGCGCCCGCGCTGGCGGACCCTGCGCTGAACTGTCCGACGGTTTGCAACCTGTTGAAGCTGCTCTACAACCGCGCTGTGCGCGCGGTGCACGCGCAAGAGTCGTTTCCCCTGCGCGGCGAGGAGCTGCGGCGCGCGGAGCAGCTGTTGGTCGTCGCATTGCGGCAATTGCTCGCGCAGCGCATCGCGCGCATTGCGAACTTCGCGGCGCAGCCTGCACGTTTCCCGCACCTGCTGCGCTTGCGCGACAGCTAGGCGTCGCACCGCTGCGCGCCGAGGCGCTGCTGCAGCACTGCCGCGCCGCGGCGCATAGCGCTTTCGCATCGCTCGCAGCGTGCGACGCAGTGGCGCTGGCAGCTGCGGCGATTTCGGTTGCTGCAGCGCTCTCGCAGCGCTGTGACCCCGTTAGATGCGGCGAATAATTTTGAGTTTTTTGAATCGAGAATGGCCGCTTCCGCCCCCGCCTGCGGCTTCGAGAACGTCGTAGTGCGCTTCGAACCGGCTGCGCCGGACGAGCCGCACTCGCCGGAGCTCGAGCGGGACTTCGTGCTGCCGATCGACTCTGCAGTCGCCGACCTCGAGCGGCTGCTCAACTTCGCGCTTGCGCGCCCGGACAGCACGCGCTGGGCGTTCGTCTGCGGCGAGCAGCTGCTCTCGGCGAGTCTGCGCGAGCTCGAGCACGTCGCGGCGCTTTCGCACAACGAAGAAGTGCTGCGAGTGAGGTACTACGAGAAGCTGCAGGACCACCCGCTCGCGCTCGCTGCGCTGACGCCGGACCCGCCGATCGCNTACTACGAGAAGCGGCAGGCCCCCCCGCCCGCGCTCGCTGCGCTGACGCCGGACCCGCCGATCGCGCTGCACTTGTTTCAGAACCACTTGCTGGCGCTCGGCAGCCGCGGACTGTTGAGCTTCTTTGACCTGCAGCAGTGCGGCGCAGCGTTGCGCGCGCCGCAGGACGCGCCGCACACGGCGTGCGCTGCGCCCGACGACGTACCGCACACTGCGGGCGATGCGCTTCATGGCGCACCGCACACAGCGCGCGCAAAAGTGGCTTCCGGCGCCGCGGCGACCGCTACGCGGCCGACGCGCGTGCTGCGCTGTCCGGAGGCGCGCGTCCTGGGCCTGCACGTGCTCGGGCCGCGCGCGTTCCTGGTCGCGACCGGTTGCGGCGAGCTGTTCGCTTTTGTGGGCGACGTGTGCGGCGAGCATTCGTTTTTTCCGCTGTGTCGGCTGCGGACTGGAGACGTGCTCAGCGCGTTCGCGGTGAACGCGGAGTGCTCGCGCGTCGCGCTGGGCACCGTGAGCGGCCGCGTTTGGCTCTTTGAGCTGCGCGCCGTGGAGCGCGCGACGAGCAGCCTGCTGCGCGGCGAGTGCCCGGCGCAGTGGGCATCCGTCGAGCTTGCCGCGCCGCAGCTCGGTTTTCTGCGAGCGCACAGCGCGGCGGTCACGGTGCTGCAGTTCTGCGGCGACGAAGCCGCGCGCGAGTTTTTACTGCTCTCCGCCGCGATGGACGCGACCGTCGCGCTGAGCGACTACCTCGAGGCGCGCGTGCTCGTGCAGCGGCGCGCGCGCGCGCCGCTACTCTCGGGCGCGCCGCTGCCGGCCGGTGCGGCGCTCGGTGCGATGGACGGC